ACCCTGAAAGAAGTATTTCAGGAGTATTTTAATTCCCCCTCCTTTTTTTGGGGGTGGGGGGGTAGAGACAGAGTCTCTCTGCTATGTTGCCCAAGCTGCTCTCAAACTCCTGGGTTCAAACAATTCTCCTCCCTCAGCCTCCAACAGTGCTGTGATAACAGGCATGAGCCACCATGTCTGGCCCAAAATATACAGCTTTGACATATTTTGAAATGGCCCTGAAAAGCTGTCTCTTTAAGTCTTACACGAAACATTTAACATTTACAGTACTCGGCTCCAGGCAGACATTGGGAGTGTTGAGGTCTAGTGGGCAGAGAAGACTCTTAGCCAGACAGATGGCTTCTCGTGGCAGGATGCGAGGGCCTCCATGCGCTGGAGAGCTCTCCAGCACCAGGGGCAGCTGCTGGCCGGCAAGGAGCTGCAGCCTATGGCCAGTCATCAGGAGATCTCCGCCAGGGTCCTGGGTTCTCTGTGCAGACAGTTCCAAAGGAAGCTGTCCCGAAGAGCTGTCAACCTCAACCTCCGGGCAGGCACCTCCTGGAAACCCCTAGAAACCAGAGTCAGGGCAGCAAGAGACTCCAGGCTGCAGCTCGCTCAGCTAAGAGCACCCAGCCATGTCACAGAGAATCCAGAAGTCCTGCCAAAGCAGCACCAAGTGGCTGGTGGAGACCCAGGTGAAGGCCAGGAGGAGGGAAAAAAGGTTAAAAAAGGGAGGGCAGTGGCTCCCCAACTTGCAGCCTGAGCCAGAAGAGTATTTGGCTGTCCAGAGCTGCCCCTGACCACTCAGCCACAGACCCCCCCGTGCATCACCACCTCTCTACCTGGACAGGCTCACGTGCCCACCCTCTACGGCAGTGGAAGCAGGAGGCTGCCTTCCAGAGCCCCTGCTCCTCGACAGAGCTCCTCTGCTCTCCTAGCGAGTATGATAGTGACCTAGAGGCTATGGGGGGCAGGAATTCGGCATCTCCAGAAGCTGTCCCAAGAGCTGGATGAAGCCATTATGGCGGGAGAGAGTGGTGAAATGACACTCTAATTCATGATTGAGAAAGTGCCCTGCAGGAAACAACCCCTGTCTGACCACCAAAGCTTCATACCCAAGAATGTCTGTGCTTCCCCATGAGCTTCCTGGTGGAAGCTCCCAGGAGTCATCAGTACCCCTGGGCCGCTGCTAAAAAACACCTGAGTAGCAAGGGGCCCAGAGCCCCCCTGTTGCAGCCACATCTGGACCCATCAGTGACTGCATGCCACAGCCTGAGAGTGTCTTGGGGAGACCTTGCAGAGGTGGGGAGTCCCCCAAGGGGACTCTTGGGCTTAGAAATTCATCGTATACTTGACCTTGAGCCTGGTATTTGCTTCATCTACAATGTGAAGAGCCGGCATCAGATGTTTGAGAGCTCTGAACTGTGTACCCATGTACTTGGTTTTTGGGGAGTCATCCACAAAGTTATTCGCCCACTGTGTTTCCGGTGCCAAGGCTCTTGGGAACACCACTCTCAGCCCTGCTTTCCCTACCAGGGCTCTGGAGGAAGGCACAGGAGATAGTTCCAGGCTTAAACTCTGGGCTCACAGGTACCTATTTATATGCTCAAGGCAGAGCACTGTGGGTGTGCCAGGAGGGGTAGCCCCGTTCAAGAGCAATTCCTGCCCTTTGTAAATTATTTAAGAAACCTGCTTTGTCATTTTGTTAGAAAGAAACCAGAGAGCATTGCTTTCTTATAATAAAAACTAGATAACACTGCTTTCTCATAATAAAGACTGTTTTGTAGCTGGGCACAGTGGCTCACGCCCGTAATCCCAGCACTTTGGGAGGCCAAGGCGGGTGGATCATCTGAGGTCAGGAGTTCAAGACCAGCCTGGCTAACATGGTGAAACCCCGTCTCTACTAAAAATACAAAAATTAGTCAGGTGCAGTGGCAGGCACCTGTAATCCCAGCTACTCGGGAGGCTGAGGCAGGAGAACTGCTTGAACCCAGGAGGCAGAGGTTGCAGTGAGTCGCGATTGCGTCACTACAGTCCAGCCTAGGTGTCAGAGCAAGACTCCGTCTCCGTCTGGGGGTGGGGGGGAAGGAGACTACATTTCGGGGAAAAAAAAAACATTTACAGGCTAGCCTTATAATCCCAGCACTTTGGGAGGCTGAGGTAGGTGGATCACTTGAGCCCAGGAGTTCCAGACCAGCCTGGACAACAGAGTAAGATCCTATCACTTTAAAAAATAATAATAAAAAAATTTTAAAAGAAACATTTGCAATCTATTCTCTCTCAAACCTGTTACCTGGAGGCTTCATTTGCATAATATGAACCTTGGTCTCCACACCTCTATCTTTTTTTCCCCCCTCCCCCAGATAGTCTCACTCTGTCGCCCAAGCTGGAGTGCAGTGGTGCAATCTGGGCTCACTGCAAGCTCCGCCTCCCAGGTTCCCGCCATTCTCCTGCCTCAGCCACCGGAGTAGCTGGGACTACAGGCACCCACTACCACGCCCGGCTAATTTTTTATATTTTTAGTAGAGACAGGGTTTCACCATGTTAGCCAGGATGATCTCGATCTCCTGACCTTGTGACCCACCTGCCTCGGTCTTCCAAAGTGCTGGGATTACAGGTGTGAGCCACTGCGCCTGGCCTCCACACCCCTATCTTAACCCAGACACTCCACTCTATTGATTCCAGGGATTTAAATAAACTCTCAACCAATTGCCAGTCAGCAAATCTTTGAATCCACCTGTGACTTGGAAGACCGCCCCTCTCACCCTTCGAGTTGTCCCAGCTTTCCAGACCAAACCAATGTACGTCTTACATGTACTGATTGATGTCTTAGGTCTCCCTAAAATGTATAAAACCAAGCGGTAGCCCGATCACCTTGGGCGTATGTTCTCGGGATCTCCTGGGGCTGCGTCATGAGCCATGGTCACTCACACTTAGCTCAGAATAAATCTCTTAAAATATTTTAGAGTTTGACACTTTCCATCGACAAAAGTATCACAGTTTGTGAGTACATTAATCTGTTCAATAAACATTTACTGCCTACTGCATATCAGACACTGTATTGGACACTACAGCTACACAGTCCCCTTCTCTGGACATACTCTCAATCAACTACTGATAATCAGTTAGTTGAAACAAAGGTTAAGAGGAAGAGGAAAGGGTAAAGTCAGAAAAGTCTTCCTGGGGAAAACCATTTCAAAAGCAGTCTTCCAGAACAAACAAGTTAACTGAGCAGGGCACAGAAGAGAGATGCAGCCTTCTAAGGAAAGGAAATGCAAAGTCAATGAGGCAAGTAATGGCAAGGAATGACCGAGACAATAAATAACAACAGAAGTTAACAATGGGAGGTGACTCCAGTCAACAACAGTAGAGGGTAACAACCTGCAGTCACTGCAGGCAGCTTAGTGTTGCTGAAATAGCAAGCCCTGAGCAGAGACTAAACAACCAGGCTGGGGCAGGATTTCTTCCTCAATTTTGCACCACTGCCATTTACCATGGATAATTCTGTTGTAGGGAGTTGTCCCATACGTAACAGAATGCTTGGCGGCATCCCTGGCCTTGATGCACTAGATGCTAGTAGCGCCCCCATAATGAACAGTTGTGATAACCATAAAGGTCTCCAGATTTGTCCCTGGGAGCAAAATTGGCCCCACTCCCCAGAATAATTGGGCTGGAGATACATCAAAAAAATACTTCAGGGAAGGGCACTGCGGCTCGCGCCTGTAATCCCAGCACTTTGGGAGGCTGAGGCGGGTGGATCATCTGAGGTCAGGAGTTTGAGACCAGCCTGACCCACACAGTAAAACCCTATCTCTACTAAAAATGCAAAATATTAGCCAGGCATGGTGGCGCACGCTTGTAATCCCAGCTGCTCGGGAGGCTGCGACAGAAGAATCGCTTGAACCCGGGAGGTGGAGGTTGCAGTGAGCTGAGATGGTGGGCCATTGCACTCCAGTCAGGACGACAGAGCGGGACTCTGTCTCCAAAAAAAAAAAAAAAAACTTAATTAGCTACACCTGGGACCCAAGTACCTGGGCCCACACACACTTGTTCTGTGGCTCACGCCTGTAATCCCAGCACTTTGGGAGGCCGAGGCGGGCGGATCACGAGGTCAAAAGATCGAGATCACCCTGGCCAACATGGTGAAACCCTGTCTCTACTAAAATACAAAAATTAGCTGGGCGTGGTAGCGTGCGCCTGTAATCCCAGCTACTCTGGAGGCTGAGGCAGGAGAATCGCTTGAACCCGGGGGGCGGAGGGTGGAGTAAGCCGAGATCGCGCCACTGCACTCCAGCCTGGCAACAGAGCGAGACTCTGTCTCAAAAAAAAAAAAAAAAAAAAAAAAAAAAAAAGTCTTCAACTCAGGTAGGAGTCAATGAGAAGGTTCTTAAAAGCCCGAAGACCCATTTCCCAGAAAACTCTAGTTAACCTCATAATTCGTACAGTTACAGTTAGTATTCGCTGTCTTGGTTTGTCCTTCAGCTGTTTTAAGTGTTTACGAACTGTCTCCAAAAATAGATGCAAATTTCCCTTATGGCAGACATCGTAACGAATTTATCCACTTTCTCACAGCGCCACACCGTTCCTTACGCACAACAGGAATGCAATCAGTATTTGTCAGTGGTTCACCCAAACTAACAGGAGTGGCTGGACTACGCACACTTAGGTAATACGTACACTTATCAAAACGGCAGAAACGCAACCTCAATTTCAGAAAAACAAACCACATTCCTTTCGGAAGGCCACCTCGGCCACAAGCAGCCAAAGCGCATGCATAGGGGTGAGAGGCGATGGGAAGAGTACTGGAAGGCTCTTCCAGATAAAAACAAGACTCCTTCCAATCGCCTCAAACACGCTCGGAAACCTCCACGACCTGCGCCAGCCCAGAGGTGGGAGCCAGCTTGACCGGAGGCCGCATCACTCTCCCCTTAAAGCGGCGAGTCTCGGCAGGGGAGCGCAGGAAGGTTACTAGTGGGGCGACCCAGTCGGTCCGGCGCTTTCCCTCTCCCTTCACGTCTTACCTGCTTGGCCAAGAACCTGCCCAACTCACTGCGGCTCTTCTCGTTCTTGGCTGCGATTAACCGCAGCGGCGCGGCTGCCACCTCCAGCGAGAAGTGCTCCATGACCCACGGCCCTCACCCGGAGCGGCCACCTGCGCTCCCTACTTCGCGGCCAGCGTCCCCAAGCCGCCGAGGTCCCAGCGCCCGAGCAGCCACCAACTACGCCCCCAGGAAAGGCGTCCTCCGCTCCAGCGCGGACACCGGGAAAGCTGCACCACACGTGGGTGAGCACACGGCGTTTGACGTCATCAGCTCGGGACGGCTACGCGGCGTCCTCCCCGCCTCGGCCTCTCAGCGGCGGAAACGCCGGTCTTCGCTGTCCCGCCTTTTCCGGGAGGGAAATGGAAGCAAAAATCTAGTCGGTTTGGATGCATGAGTGATGGGGGCTCGCGAACTCAGCACGTGGCGGGACAGAGAGAAGAGTGCGTTAGGCCCGGGAGGAAAGAGAGGGGGCGTGTGATTCTCAGCCCACCGTGCCTTCCTTCTGCCTGAACACACGGAAAGATCAGATGTGAGAGAAATGCTGATTCTCAGCCGGGCGCGGTGGCGCATGTCTTTATCCCAGCACTTTGGGAGGCCGAGGCGGGCAGATCATTTGAGGTTAGCAGTTCGAGACCAGCCTGGGCAACATGGGGAAACCCCCTTCTCTACAAAAAATACAAAAATTAGCCGGCCGTGGTGGCGCGCGCCTGTAGTCCCAGCTACTCGGGAGGCTGAGGCAGGAGAATCGCTTGAACCCGGGAGGCGGAGGTTACAGTAAGCCGAGATCGTGCAACTGCACTCCAGCCGCGCGACAGAGCACTTTTCTGTCCCGAAAAAAGAAAAGAAAAGCTGGCCGGGCGCGGTGGCTCAAGCCTGTAATCCCAGCACTTTGGGAGGCCGAGACGGGCGGATCACAAGGTCAGGAGATCGAGACCATCCTGGCTAACACGGTGAAACCCCGTCTCTACTAAAAAATACAAAAAACTAGCCGGGCGAGGTGGCGGGCGCCTGTAGTCCCAGCTACTCGGGAGGCTGAGGCTGGAGAATGGCGTGAACCCGGGAGGCGGAGCTTGCAGTGAGCTGAGATCCGGCCACTGCACTCTAGCCTGGGCGACAGAGCGAGACTCCGTCTCAAAAAAAAAAAAAAAAAAAAAAAAAAAAAAAAAAAAAAAAGAAAGAAAAGAAAAGCTGATTCTACCCTTCTTAGCGGTGGCAGTTACCCTGTGCATAGGTAGGGGACAGCAGTAACCGTAGTTCTTGCCTCCTCAGAAGAATTCCACGAAGGGCATGAGGCAGAATGAGAGACCTAGGCAAGTTTCAGAGTAGAAGTAAAAGTTTGTCAAAAAGCTTTAGAACAGGACGGAAAGAAAAGGAGGAAAGTACAACTTGGAAGACGGCCAAGCAGGCGCCTTGAGAAACCAAGTGCGCAGTTTGACCTCTTGACTTGAGGTTTTATATGTTGGCATACTTTCGGGAACTTGCACTGCTTCTCCCGACTCCTGAGATCTTATTGGGAAGCTACTGATCAGTTTCAGGTGTTTTCTATTAGGAGACTGCCTTTCGCTGGCGCCGGTGAACGTTAGAGAAACAGTTAAGAACCGCCTGACCATCATTTGATTGTCGCCCAGTAGTCCTGGTGTATGTGGGGTGGGGAGCGCTCTGCTGCTCTGCTCATACCTAACTAGTTAACATTCTGCCCCTAACTAGTTAACATTCTGCCTTGTAGGACTCTAGCCTACGGAAATCCTCACATAAGTGTGACAAAGATACCCCTCGCAGATTTCTTAATACAGATATTGGAAGAAAATGTTCAATTGGGAATATTAAACTATGGGGTCTAAGTTATAGAATATTCTGGAAGTCATAAAAAAATAGCGTCCATAACATTAAAAGTGCACTTGTGGGCTGGGCGCAGTGTCTCATGCCTGTAATCACAGCACTAGGCGAGGCAGGCAGATCACAAGATACGGAGTTGGAGATCAGCCTGACCAACATGGTGAAACCCCATCTCTACTAAAAACACGAAAATTAGGGCTGGGTGCCTTGGCTCATGCCTGTAATCCCAGTACTTTGGGAGGCCAAGGCAGGCAGATCACCTGAGATTAGTAGTTCTCCCGAACCAACCTGATCAACATGGAGAAACCCGTCTCTACTAAAAATAGAAAATTAGCGGGGTGTGGTGGTGCATGCCTGTAATCCCAGCTACTTGGGAGGCTGAAGCAGGAGAATCACTTGAACCCGGGAGGCGGAGGTTATGGTGAGCCGAGATCGTGTCATTGCATTCCAGCCTAGGCAACAGGAGCAAAAGGCCACCTTAAAAAAAAAAAAGGTTGGGGGTGGCCAGTCGTGGTGGCTCACACCTGTAATTCCAACACTTTGGGAGGCCAAGGCAGGCAGATCACCTGAGGTCGGGAGTCTGAGACCAGCCTGGCCAACATGGTGAAACCTCATCTGTACTAAAAATTAAAAAATTAGCCAGGCGTGGTGGCGGGCATCTGTAATCCCAGCTACTCAGGAGGCTGAGGCAGGAGAATAGCTTGAACCTGGGAGGTGGAGGTTGCAGTGAATGGAAAATGTGCCGGTGCACTCCAGCCTGGGCAAACTCTGTCTCAAAAAGAAGAAAAAGACAAAAAGAAAAAGTAGTTATGTAGTGATAATGCACCCTGGCAACTATTCTCAGGAATGTGTTTAAAGAGGTGCCCCCTGAAAAAGGAGGGTAAAACCAAGAAAGAAGATGACACGGGATCCAGGAAATAAGAGATTTAGCACAGAAAGAAAAAGTAAAATAATCCTGTGGATCGTAATCTTAATCCACAGGATTATTTTACTTTTAAGTGTTTAAGGGAAATCCCAGAACTTTCATCTGGGCAGCAGCAGTAAGATGAACAGCTCTAGGATGGTTAAATTAATAGATCAGATTAGTGGTTGCCTGGGTTTGGGATTGGAAGAGAAGACAATGTAAACAGCCAGAAGGCAAAATTTGGGGGTAATAAAAATCTAAGACTGGGCCAGCCACAGTGGTTTACGCCTGTAATCCAGCACTTTGGGAGGCTGAGGTAGGTGGATCACAGGGTCAGGAGTTCGAGACCAGCCTGGCCAGCATGGTGAAACTCCATCTCTACTAAAAATACAAAAATTAGCCAGGCGTGGTGGCACATGCCTGTAGTCCCAGCTATTTGGGAGGTTGAGGTAGGAGAATTACTCCAACCCGGGAGACAGAGGTTGCAGTGAGCCGAGAACGTGCCACTGCACTCCCACCTGGGCAACAGAGTGAGACTCTGTCTCAAAAAACAAAACAAAACAAAGTACAAAAATTACCCAGGCGTGGTGGCAAGTGCCTGTAATCCCAGCTACGCGGGAGACTGAGGCAGAAGAATCACTTGAACCTGGAAGGCGAAGGTGGCAGTGAGTTGAGATCCCGCCATTGTACTCCAGCCTGGGCAACAGAACGAGATTCTGTCTCAAAATAATAAAAGAAAAATAATGATAATAAGGAAGGAATAGAGCATGTGTAGTATAGATGAAATAAGGTTGACAGTGTATTAGTAATTATTGAAACCAGATATTGGGTAATAGGAGTTTATCGTACTCTTCTTTTTTTTTTTTTTTTTTTTGAGACGGAGTCTTGCTTTGTCACCCACACTGGAGTGCAGTGACACAATCTCAGCTCACTGCAACCTCCACCTCCCAGGTTCAAGCTATTCTCCTGCCTCAGCCTCCTGAGTAGCTGGGACTACAGGCATGCACCACCACACCCAGCTAATTTTTTCTTTTGTATTTTCACTAGAGACAGGGTTTCACCATGTTGGCCAGGCTTGTCTCAAACTCCTGACCTCAGGTAATCCCCCCTCAACATCCCAAAGTGCTGGGATTACAGAGGTAAGCCACCACGCCCGGCCTATTGTACTCTTCTTTCTACTTTTGTGTATGTTTGAAATTTTGCGCTTAAAAAAATAGTATCTTTGATCCTTTTGTAGTTCATCAGCATGATGATTGGGTTTTCACACACATGTGTAATATGTGCCTCCCTCAAACCATGTTATGACCTCAGTATATTACCTGTCTGATATAAAAATATGTATATATTTTAGAAACAGGGTCTTACTCTCTCACCCAGGCTAGAGTGTATTGGTGCAATCATAGCTCAATGTAACCTTGAACCCCTGGGCCCAAGCAATCTTCCTGAGTAGCTAGGACTACAGGAACCTGCTACCACACCCAAATGTTTTTGTTTTGTTTTTTTTTTTTGAGATAGAGTCTCACTCTGTCACCCAGACTGGAGTGAAGTGGCGATCTTGGCTTACTGCAACCTCTGCCTCCTGGGTTCAAGCAATCCTCCTGCCTCATCCTCTGGAGTCTCTGGAGTAGCTGGGATTACAGGCATGCACCACCATACCTGGCTAATTTTTTGTATTTTTTAGTAGAGACAGGGTTTCACCATGTTGGCCAGGCTGGTCTCGAACTCCTGACTTCAAGTAATCCACCCACCTCGGCCTCCCAAAGTGCAGGGATTACAGGCATGCATCACCACGCCCAGCTCTTCTCTTTTTTTTTTTTTTTTTTTTTGAGACGGAGTCTCGCTCTGTCGCCCAGGCTGGAGTGCAGTGGCCGGATCTCAGCTCACTGCAAGCTCTGCCTCCCGGGTTCACACCATTCTCCTGCCTCAGCCTCCCGAATAGCTGGGACTACAGGCGCCCGCCACCTCGCCCGGCTAGTTTTTTGTAGTTTTAGTAGAGACGGGGTTTCACCGTGTTAGCCAGGATGGTCTCGATCTCCTGACCTCGTGATCTGCCCGTCTCGGCCTCCCAAAGTGCTGGGATTACAGGCTTGAGCCACCGCGCCCGGCCTTTTTTTTTTTTTTAAATAGACAAGGTCTCCCTATGTTGCCCAGGCTGGTCTCCCACTCCTGGGCTCAAACAATCCTCCAGCCTTGGCCTCCCAAAGTGCTGGGATTATAGGCATGAGCCACCATGCTTGGTCTTAAATGTCTTAAGCTCTCTTAAGTCTTACGCTACTTTCTCCGCTGGCGGTGCCCACCCAACAGCCATTGGTGACCTCTGAAAATTAATATTTTTGAAAAAAATTATGAGTGTCATGTAAAGAGAACTTGGAGGCCGGGCGCGGTGGCTCAAGCCTGTAATCCCAGCACTTTGGGAGGCCGAGACGGGCAGATCCCGAGGTCAGGAGATCGAGACCATCCTGGCTAACACGGTGAAAACCCGCAACAGAGCGAGACTCCGTCTCAAAAAAAAAAAAAAAAAAA